CAGTGAAACACTGAACACGGTTGTTCACCGCAAAAGTCATTGATTTCCCAATATTTCAGGAAAGCAAATACTTTCCTTAGCTCATGTTCAAATAGATGACAGTATATCCATACAATGGAATCCTGAAGACCAGCAGAAATGAACAAACTGCAGGGACACAATGTAACTCCCATAAACAGCATAATTGTAATGTTTCCCACACAGGAAGCACGAAAAAGCATGGGCTGTGTGATTCCACTTATACAGCATGTTCAAGACCAAGTGGAATCAATCCGCAGGATTAAAAGTCGAAACCATGGCTACCTTTAGAAAGGAAGGAGGGGCTAGTGGTGAAAAGAGGTTTTGTGGGCGCCTGCAGTGCTCCATTTCTGGAGCCAGGGACAGTTACATAGGCATTATGACAATCCGCTTAGCTGCTCACTGACATACTACTTTTCTGTATACACGCACTATGCCTTAAACTTTTTTAAAAACTTTCAAGGAGAATTAAAAGTCTCAGCAGGCTCCCTTGCCAAATGACAGGCTTCACACTAAGACTTATGAGAAGGGCCAGAATATTAAGAGGACTTAGGAGAGGCACTTCTTAAAGTGCGTGTCCAGCTCCTGTTTAGATGGTAAGTAAATCAGACAATGGCTGACATTTCTCGCTGTGTGAGTCACTGAAATTAACTAACAATGGCACCAATCTGTTATACTCATCAGGGAACTTTTTTTTTTAAGTATAAGAGATTGTAGATGGTAAAATTTACCCTGGCGGTGTCCTTGGTATGCCTGGAAAAATCCAGAACACTTTATAGAAATATATATACATATACATACATGTATGATGCAAACACTGATCACACATGGACTGCAGAGATGTTGTCTACCTCATCAGAAGACAGGCATTGCCCTACCTTCACCTCTCCAGATTCTTCATGGAGAAATTTGTACTGAAACACAGGAGATCAGGTGCTTATTCATAATTTTGAAATAGAGCAAAGTCTGTTGCAAATATTTAACCCCTTTCAAAATAGAGTGACATATTTTATACAAATACCACCTGTTACAAGTTTGTTTGTTTTTTGTAGAGCCATATCACATTAGTTTCTTAGGTGTTCTTGTTTTCACATCATCAGGTTTGGGGGGATTTTGTTATTGTTAGGAGAAAATTATCAATAGTTACTATCACTAAACTGCTGTTCATTTGTGTGTGTGCATTATTTACAAGGGTGTGTTATATGGATGGGGGAATACAGTGTATCACTCTCTTAGCATACATGGTTACTAAATTTGAATGCCAAAGAAACTTTGGCATACAAGGGGATACCCAAGAAAAACAGGAATTTTTTCAAAGTTATGTATTTAAATTGTTTTATAAAACAACCTTATCACCTTTGAAGTGTTCCCCATTACACTTAGTACTTTTGTCAAATCTGTGATTCCATCCTTGGAGACATTTTTCAGACTCATCTGTTTGGATGGCTGACAGCACCTGCTGTCCTTTCATGTCCCTCTTCATTCACGGAAACAAGAAAGTCCCACAGAGCAAGGTCAGGTGAGTCAGGTGCATGGGGCCAGAGAGTAATGCTGGGTTTTGTTTTGTTTTTTGTCAAAAACTAACACACTGAGAGGGCTCCATGAGCATTATCATGGTGGCAAATCCAGTCCCCCGTCTGCCACAAATCAGGCCATTTTTGTCACGCACTCTTATGTAATCTTTTCAGAATCTCTAAATAGAAAGCTTGATTAAAAGTCTGACCTGGTGGAATGAACTCCAAATGCACTACTAGTCAAAATTTTTGTCGGTTTGAAAAGCTAAGGAATGTTAAGAATGAGCTTTTCATCAATCGACATTTTACCTTTTTTGAAACGAAAAAAAAAAACACTCATAGACTTGAGTTTTTCCCACAGCACTGTCCTTGTAAACTGTGTTCAACATCACAACAGTTTCTGTGGCATCTTTCCCGCACAGGAAACAAAATTTCACAACTACGTGCTGTTCTCTTAAATTAGCCATCACAAAAAAAACAAGTTTGAAGTGAAACTGCTTTAATAAAAAAAATTCACTGTGACCAGAGAGAACCTTCCCAGGCAATGGCACCGGGTGCACTAACTTAGAGCGAATGTCTCCATGCTCACCTAGTGGGAAAAATGCGTAACTATGAAAGCTCCATCCAACAGAGCTTTTCTCTTTTTTTTTTTGTGGGAGTATGGTACTGCCTCGTGTGTGTGTGTGTGTGTGTGTGTGTGTGTGTGTGTGTAAGGAAATGCAAACCCAGATGGAGAAAAATTACTTGTTTTCACTGCAGATTTTTCACTTTTATTAAAATGTTATGAAAAACATTCTGCAAATTTTCCTTTCCTTGAAACAAAAGGTATTGTGGGCAATGATTGAATACTCATTGCTCCTGAATTTGACAAATGTGCACGAGTTTAATAGCAATTCCTATAGATAATTTTCTCCTTAAAAAAGAAAGCATGATAAAGGAGCTGATACCAAGTAGAAGCAAATGTTTTGAGAATGATGAGGGCAACAATTGTACAAATGTGCTTGACACACAATGGATGTATGTATGGACTGTGATAATAGTTGTATGAGCCCCCATCTAGCTCAGAAACAGCAAAGCCCACATGGAAGAAGCACGCCAGCCTGTGCGATCATGACGTGTCCAAGGGATCAGGTATCAGGCATCATCAGAACCAAAAATCTTATAGTGAATGAGTGGGGGAGTGCAATTGGAGACCCAAAGCCCATTTGTAGGCCACTGGACATCCCCTTACACAAGGATATCAGGGAGGAGACGAGCCAGTCAGGGTGTGATATAACAACGATGAAAAATACAACTTTCCTCTAGTTCCTAAATGCTTCCCCACCACCACCCATCCACCATCTTGATCCCAATTCGACCTTGCAAGTCTGGCTAGACCAGAGGATGTACACTGGTACAGATAGGAACCGGAAGCACAGGGAATCCAGGGCGGATGATCCCTTCAGGACCAGTGGTGTGAGTGGCCATACTGGGAGGGTAGAAGGAGGGTGGGTTGGAAAGGGGGAACCGATTACAAGGATCTACATGTGACCTCCTCCCTGGGAGATGGACAACAGAAAAGTGAGTAAAGGGAGACTTCGGACAGGGCAAGATATGACAAAATAATAATTTATAAATTATCAAGGGTTCATGAGGGAGGGGGGAGCGGGTAGGGAGGAGAAAAAATGAGGAGCTGATACCAGGGGCTTAAGTGGAGAGCAAATGTTTTGAGAATGATGAGGGCAATGAATGTACAAATGTGCTTTACACGATTGAGGTGTGTATGGATTGTGATAAGAGTTGTATGAGCCCCTAATAAAACAATTAAAAAAAAAGAGTTGTATGAGCCCCCAATAAAATGATTTTTAAAATAGGGGGGGGGGGGCATGATCACTTAAAAGAAGATACTATATTCATCCTGAATGTCAAAATGTTGCACCTGCTCTGATGTGTCCAGGCGTCCTTGGTCTCGCGAACTGAAGAATGGACTTGTGGACCACAAACAGCAAGCAGAAAGGAGAATTTATTTTAAAAAGAAAGAAAAGCAACTGACACAGTAGGTGGGGGCTTGAGTGAGCTGCTGCTGAATGAACTGAGTCAGCGCCTTTTATCAGGTGTGAGGTATTTGGGATGTCTGTGCTGCGAGATTACAAACAGACCAATCCCAGGTCTGGTCACATGCCTCATTCCAATCATGAACCTGGTCATGCTCTGTCCACGGCTCGGTCTTACACAGGAATGGGCAAGGAAGTAAGCAGACAATCGGTCAGCAAAAAGAGTCATAGATTTACTGACTTAGTTTTAAAATCAGCCTGGGGGTCCAGTGCTTGCTTGCTTAAAATTTCCAATTGTCCTAGGCTTTTGAAATCACTCCTCCAGAAGTCCTGCTGCTCCCAATACTTCCCCCCAGGCCTCTTCTCCTCTCTCTGCCTGGGGCTCTCTATCTCCTCTCTCTCAAATCCACTTTATTTTTTACCTTACTTCCATCAAGGGTCGTGACTTGATAAAAATAGATCCCTGAATAATGAGTCAGTGACCTGAGTTTGAGAGAATAAAATAGGAGGTTTAGGGGTATTTTCAAATGGCAGCACAGCAAACAAAGCCAAGGCAGCAAGAACATCTCCAAAGCAATTGTAATGTTTTACATACTCAATGTTTAAAAAACAAACAAACACAATCCTGCTGCCATCAAGTGGATCCCAAGTCACGGCAACCGTACCGGGCAGAGCACAGCTGCCTCGGTGGGTTTCCGGGGCTGTGAATGATTACGGAGCAGAAAGCATCCCCTGTCTGCGGCAGAGCAGTGGGTGAGTGCTAACTGATAACCTGTGGGTTAGCAACCCAATACGTGGCCACTATGCAAACAGGGCTCCCTCCACTTACGTAAGCTGATCTGAAAATACTCAGAGGGAATAAAACAAGCACAACCAAATAACTATTTGTTTTCAAATATCATTCAACAGACACTTCGGCAGAAAACAAATCCTTGAAGCAATAGCAGACAACAGACAGTCTAAAATACAAAATAATAATAACAATATATAATTAATTGATCAAGGATTCATGAGGGTGGGAGGGGGAGGGAGGTAGGGGTAAAAAGAGGAGCTTATACCAAGGACTCAAGTAGAAAATGTTTGGGGAATGATTATGGCAACATATGTACAATTATGCTTGATATCATTGATATATGGAATGTTATAAGAACTGTAAGAGCCCCCAATAAAATGTTTTCAAATATATATATATATTGAAAAGTTATGAAACTTAAAAATTAAAATAATATTTCTATCTTTACTCAACCACCAACTAATGTGATATCCCAACCTCAAACAGCTAAAAGAAGTGCATGCATCTTTGATAAGAGGTACACAAATATATTTCTACACAAAGTGGCATGCACCACTCAAAAAGTTAAAATTCACCAAACTTCACCATCTATACACCACCTATACACCTATACAAAACTATTTATAAACAAAGAGTTCTTACCACTTCTTGCCTCTGGACATTAAGTTTTTCAGTCAATTCTTCCAAAGTCCTTTTTGTCTCAGCATCTGACCTACACAATCAATGAGAAATATTTTATAATGCCTAGCTGAAAAGTAAGTACAATGAATAAAATACACACTAACTATGCTTTACAGAATCCACGACTGCCTGTGTACCCACTCCTCCAGGCCACTAAGCTCCACCCTGCCCATCTTATGCTTTTGCTGGTTCATTAGCGCAGTTGTTCAAAACTTTAAATATATTCTATTGACTACGTTGTTGTGTAGTGCTTACGTGTTGGGCTGCGATCCACAAGGTCAGCATTTCAAAACCACCAGACGCTCTGAGCGAAAAACATGAGGCTTTGTAATCCTCTAGAAAGTGAGTCTTGGAAATTCACAGGGACGGGTCTACCCTGTCCCACAGGGTTGCTATGAATTGGCATCTACAGGACGGCAGTGAGGTTTTGAGTGACACCTCAATAGTTTTAAATAAATGTGCGTCTGCTTTTAATCCTTTATTGCTTACCTGTGTCATTTTATATGTTCATCTAGTGAGTGAGTCGGAATTGGCTCGATGTGTTATTTTGTTGTTGTTTTTGTTTTGGATTCCATTGCTATCAAATAAATTCTGACTCATAATGATCCTATAGTACAGAGTCGAACTGCCCTTACAGGGTTTTCAAGGCTGCAGTGTGTATGGGAGCAACCTATCACCTCTTCCTCCAGCACACGGCTGGTGGGCTTTGACTACCAACCTTTCACTTAGCGGCCAGGTGCTTAACCTCTGAGCCACCTGGGTTCCTCTTACAAGAGGGAGCTTCAAAAAGTTCACAGAAAACATAGAATTGAAAAATATTCTCCCACAATTTTTTGAAGTTCCCGCTTAAGAATTATTCCATCCTATTCAGATTGGTTCTTCATTTATAGCTGAGAGTATTCAGTTAAACTCTGAAGATATCAATCTGCTGAAAACAATACTGAAAATGCACACCTGTCCATCACTTCCTTGCCATAATCCTGGTCAAGTGATCATCATCTCTCATATAAACGCAAGCCCGCTGCCACCAAGTTGTTTCTGACAGTGCCAGCCTATATACTGGAAGAGTCCAGGCTGTCAGTGCACACTAACTAATCAGCTAATCATCTCTGCTATCATCCCTGTGTTTCCTATATTTCCCTTGTATCATTATATAACTATCTCCTGAAACTCATACCCCAGTGCTCATCTTATGCCCTCCTTTCAGAAGTATAAAAGCTATATAATAAAGATACTACAAATGTAGAACACACTATCGTGGAATGTTAAGTACCATTCTATTGATTTCATCAGTTTGTAGAAAAGAAATATCTAAATATCAACTAGTCTTAGGATCCCTGATGGCAACGGTGGATAGCTCTTGGACCACTAACCAAAAGGTCAGCAGTTCAAACCCACTAATTTCTCCTTGCGATAAATGTGAGGCTATGTGTTCCTGTATAGAGTTGAGATGGTTAAAAATCCTCTCAATGGCAGTGGGTTATTCCACTACAATATCAGTTTAAAATACTACTGTTCTTAAATAATAAATAATATAGTTCACAATTCAGGAATCTAAATGGTTTATTAATATCAACTATATGTTAAAATGTATCTGGAAACACCATATACTTTTTTTATAAAAATCATTCTATTGGGGCTCTTACATCTCTTATAGCACCATATACTCTAAATAGTATAGAACAGAGAGTGTGGAGACTAATTTCCTAGATTAGAATTCTGGCGCCAAGACATCCAACCTGGGTGATCTCAAGCAAAGTAAGTCATTTCACCTCTCTATATCCCATAAAATATAAACAGTAACAATGACAATCTCAGAGTTGATGCAAGGAGAAAACAAAATTACTAAGCATTAAATAAGTGCCCAATAACAGGAATAGTATGGTCCTTAATTCTTATACTGAATTTTCTGCCTTTCTTCTACAAAAGCTTGTCAGCTATGCAGACTATAGTTGATATTCACATGTTGACCATTTGTACATTGGACTGGTTTTGCTGTAGCAACACAAATAGCTATTCACTGGACGCTTGAGTGAACTGGATAATATCAACTTCAATTAAACACTGTTATTCTCCCGTCATTACTAGAAAAGCAGCAACAACAAGAAAAAGGAATCCCCTCAACAAGATGGATTGTCACAGTGTCTGGCACAATGGGTTCAAGAGTTACCATTGTGAGGGTGGTGCAGGACCAGGCAGTGCAGAGGGTTGCTATGAGCCGATCTGACTTGATAGTACCCAACAACATCAATCATCACAATATAAAGGGCCTTCAAAGAGTTCATTTTACAAAATTCATTCTCTTCAAATTCCATTTTCCATGCATTTTTGAAGTTTAAAGTTCATAAAGAGTCACTACAAATCTTTGTTTCTTGGAAAATAGGAATATTCACGTTCAGACATTTAAACTAACAGCTAAAATATCAGATGCTACAGGGGCTCGTACCATTGGAAACTGCCAAGGGTTGGTTGCACACGTACGCATTCACATGCTCACACTCTTATTCGGGGTTCTCCCTTTCTCTAACAGATCTGCGAGTGTCTGTCCTTGCTCACATTTCCTATCTCTCTCAGGGGTAACAAAGTTCCACTGTAGTAAGTTAAAATATTTCTTTCTGGCAATATAAAATCAACCTAAAGTTCAGCCATGATATGCTCTAAATTCAAAGGGCTTTGAACTATTCTATTAATAAAGCTTAAAACCTTGATAGAAAACCACTGGGGTGTTGTTTTTTCCAGTCTATGTAAACATGTCAGTTACAGAATCTATGTTATTCTTCTAATCATTCGTGCCTCCAAGTGAAAACCACATGCTGCTTTTACCGGCTTCTTCTTGAAAATTCCCTGGTGAGATCATCTCCAAGGCGAATCTGTTCACTGCTGAGGTCTCGAAGAGATTGATGTAAAGCATGAAGCTAATAAAGGCAAAACAGTTTTTCTTTTAGGTTTCTGTTGGATTCATCCATGACCGTTCACTAGAGGCAAAAATAAGTACTTGTTCTTCACAATATGCCCAATTCTATAATAGTTGGTATTTTAGAAAAACAAAATAAAATGAACATCCACTCTGAAAGTAATATTTTTTCCAAAGAAAAACAATTTTTTTAAAGCTATCAATAACATTAACAAATTCTCTCTATGGAATCGATATCAATTCTTGCCCTAGAGAAGGGATCAGCAAGCTTTTCTGTCAAGGGTCAGGGAGCAAATATTTCTGGCTCACTGGCTATCTGACATCAGTTATGCCTGCTGACCTCTACTACAGTAGTACAAGAGGCAGTTAAAAGACAAGCCTAGCCATGTTCCATTAAAACTTTATTCTAACAGCCTACGGTGCATATTATCAATCCCTTCCCTAAAGAAACTCCTGCCCACATGCACCTGGAATCATGTACAAAAATGGCTGAAGGGGCGTTATTCATAAGGGAACTGTAGAGACAAACTGAAAGTTCATCAGGAGTACAATGGAGATGAGTACACTGCAGGATAGTCTATCATACCTCGGTGAAAATTAACAAATAAAGGTACACACCCATTTGTAAAGAGAAATCACAAACATAACACTGAATAATAAAAGTCAGTTTACAGAAGAAGACACATAATACCATTTCATGAAGTTTGAAAGTAGCCGACACTTAATAAGCTCAAAGTAGTAAAAATGGTATGCTTTGGGAGAGGAGCAAACATATGATAATCCTCTATGTCTTAGTATAGTTGGTAGTTTTATAACGTTGACTCTTACTAGTATACTTTCAACCATAGATATGCAGGCTACACATGTGTATGTATATCATATTACACAATAATGTTTCCTTAGTTACCTAGACTTGCAGAAAAAAACAAAACAAGATTGATGCAGGCCCTATATGCCCATTGATTGAGCAATTTGTCGATACCAGCTACTGTGCTGGGAAGCAAGTGGCTCCCAGCCTAATGGGAGAGGTAGAAAAGTAAACTGCTAACCAGGACTTCTGAACGAGGGTCATAGAGAAAATATAGTGGCGTCGAAGGATAGGTCATCTTAAGATAAAACTTTAAGGACAACTTTAAAGAATGAGGAAGAACAGTTAAAAACAACAGAGTGTGGAGGTAACATCGCAAATGAGCGCTATCAGCTTACCATCATGAAGGTTTTACCATCATGAATTTCTCACTTTGCAAATCAGAATCTTAGAGCTCATTCTGACACCACCCTTTCTCTCATTCCTGCCCTCCCCACATGGCCAACTGAACTTGAAGCCCTTCCAATAGAACCCACGTAAAGCCAATCCCTTCTCTTCAACTTCATTTCACTATCCTAATCCAAGGGAACATCATCTCACACACAAAGAAATATCCTCCTAATCCGTTTGTCTTCATGAACACTATTTTGCACACCAGAGTCAGAGTGAGCTTCTGTAAGCAATGTTGCTACCCTCTCCCAAGGCACTCCACTGTCTCAGCCTTTCATGCTTCTTTGGCCTCCTGGCCTTCTTTAAATTGCTCTCTTCCTTCCTGCCGATCTATCCATTCGACCTAGAATGAGTCACACTCAGCTCTAAAATCTCAACCCTAGCAGCTGTTCTTCAGCAAAGCATTTCTGGAACAGAGCAGGATTCTCAACTCTACCTTCCCATTGTCCTGGGATCTACTCTACCATACATCTCAGTTCATCACTATGAGTGTATTCATACGTGTACTTAGTTACTATCTGGCTCTGCCTATAAACTGTAAGCTCCATGAAAAGGCAAGGGCATGTCTACTTTCCTCATCACTGTTTCCAAGCACAAGCACTAAATAAATACAATGAAAGATTAAAGATACAATTTTAATAAATTGTTTTCTGGTCCAGATTTAATCATATAGTCCATGTAACATACTTGGCACCTATCTGAAAAATAATACACTCAAACAAAGTTTCTCTGGGGGCTTTGTAAAGAATGTGACTCGGCTCTCTCTTTACCTCGGACTGTGTAGCATGCAACAGTAACTTAGATGAGGATCCTAAAAACAAATACTGGCCTTCAAATCCGAAAGCTTTCTAAGTGAGGCTATTACGGTCAGAAACTTCCCTAGTCATTTCCTAATTTGCTACCCAAAGCAAGAATAGAGAAATTTCAGCTCTTGCAAAGAAATTTAAAGAGGCAGGAGAATAAATAGATCCAAGAACTAAAATTTCAGAAATCTCTAGCAAACATATAGAGAAGCATGGACATGTCTTGCTTCATGGAAAGTGGCTCCATCAATGATTCAACAATCAGAAAAACTATAATGCTGGAAAAATCAATAGGGCAACTATACAAGGACTAACTCTTTCTAAATAAACTTAGCAAAATAAAAAGTAGCTGACTTTAGCAATACGTCAGAGGAGTTAGCCATCTATACAAGGAAACAAAGCATGTCCAACTAAACTCATTTTTAAATGTCCTACAAAACATAACTTTCCACAACAATATTCAAAATAAATGTGTGATGGAGATTAATACATTTAGAATGCATTGTCACCTTGATTAAAAAAGAGATCAGTAAAAAGTTTCTGATACCCCAACTCTCGGCCAAAATATAGCCATGAGGTTTCAAGTGTTAGTCATTTATATGGGAAAGTAAAGAAATGCTTGCATGCAGATTACAGAATTGTCCTATTACCTGGCCTACATCCGTCTCTCCAACAAAACGGACACCGGTTCTCGACTTCACTGCTCTGCTACCTTGTGAATCCCCATAGTCCTTGAGAGGTGAGGTAGGTGGAAAATGGGGGCTCTCTATACAAAAGGAAAAAGAATGATTAGAAGAAAAATATATGAGAAAAAGTCTTCCAAATTGTTTAATCAATACATACACACTAGCTATGGTATATGCCTGTCCCCTTAACCAAAGTTATTTATTTCCAAATAATCAAAGGATATTTCCAAGTATCCTGCTGTAGACGCTACATAAAATTTCAAAATTGGCACAAATTTTACTCTTAAAGCAGATAAAATCCAAAACACAAATAACCTGGAAACTCGAAAAACTGAAAAGCAAACCCATGTCAATTCTGACTCATACTAACCCAAAAAGGACAGAGTAGAACTTCCCATAGGGTTTCCAAGGCTGCAAATCTTTAGAGAAACCGACTTCCACATCTTTCCTTAAGCAGCCAAGCACCTTAACCACTGTGCCACTTGGAAATACAATATCTCCCAGCTCCATCATGCTATACTTTCCAAAGAAGCAGTGTGCACATGTTCCCTCGTAGTAAAAAAATTTGCTAACTAATGTTAACTTTCATTTAACTCCCTGAGATGTAACCTAATCCTAGTGAAGAAGAATTTTTCAAATGAGAAATTAATTAAAATAAACTCTAAATGGTGGTTAAAGTCAATAAAAACCAACTGACTGCATGAAAAAATGACTGGGTCCAATTTTTAATCATTATTGTAATGATTACCAGCAATCTTATCCTTGTGAGGTATTGATGGTCACTCTAAATCACCTCATCACTGCACACTGAAGCCTTTTTCAAATATAAATATGAGTGCAGCATGAAAGTGTAAGATTAACTACAAATTAAGTACTTCCACTTCTAATTTAGGCAAGGTGCAAATTTACCTGGTCTGCACAAGCATCATAGGATATTTCATAACCAACTATTCTAAAACCCTTAGTCTAGAATGTAGCGGGTAAAGCCGTACCCCACATACACATAAAGGAAATTTTATTTGTATCTTTGTTTTGATTCTCTGGTAGTTAACTATCCAAGTATTGGCAGATAAACCCTATGTGGCCTGTGGAGACTGAGCAAAGCAGAAAGAGATTCCAAATAAGTGTCTCACTTATTTCAAAGCATGCACGATAAAACCCTTCACATCCTTGATAACTGTGTCTTCAAGCATCTAGTCCACACAATTTTACGTTTGAGTTGCATTTTTCTAAAGACTGGGGGTATTTAAAATGTACTTCATATTGAATTACTATCAAGTCAAGCCAAAAGAAAGTTGTGTTCACCCCAATGGATGAGCTTACCTGCGGCAGCACCACCGAGATCACTTGCACTCAGGCTCGTAACAGAACTACTGCGCCCTCCCGACTGTTTCAATAAACGCTGACTCCGAAGGTGGCCTATTGATTGTTCCAAGCTTTCTTTTAACTAAATGTAAAAATATAATGAAGGGATTTTTACTTTTTTTAAACAACTTCTGAATATAAATAGGAGTCGGAATTTTTTTCTAAAAGCTACTTCTGTCACTACCGTTTCCGTGTTTCTACCATCTGAGGACTTAGGGAACCAGATTGAAATGTCTAATAATGTGCCATGCATGCTAAGAAATATAAAAAGGTCATTACATATCAGAAAGAAAGGGGAAAGCCTTCTTCCCTTTTAAGTATTCCTTCAGATATCCCAGGCCTATAAAAAACAGGAAAATTAATAGCTGTCCCACAACTGCTGCAACTGAAATTATATACTGTGTGCAGCTTTCCATCAGAATATTTCTTTCATTCATTCAAAGACTCATATCACAGAAGTAAGGATTCTGATGTTGGAGTATCAGTGAATACATCTGCCCAAATACTTTCTGCAAATTATTAGGGAGTCATCTAGGGCATGATATAAGAACACAACTTTTTAGACCTAACAAGGTACGCTTAAATGGAGCATGATGGATCCTTAGGAACTAGTCCCTGCAGAAGGGCAAGTCTGACAATGTAGACCAGGGGTTCTCCACCTTCCTAAGGCCGCACCGCTTTCAGACAGTTCCTCATGTGGTGGGGACCCCACAACCATCACATTATTTTCGTTGCTACTTCATCACTGTCATTTTGCTACTGTATGAATCGGATGACCGCTCCATAGGTTGAGAACCGCTGATGTAGAGGCTCAGCAAAAGAGATGACCCTTGACAAGATGGATGGATACAGTGGCTGCAACACTGTCTGGTTCAAACAGGGGGACCATTGTGAGGACGGCAGAGTCTCACTCTGCTGGTCACTGAGCCACTGTGAGTGGCAAGAAATAGACGGGGCCTAACAACAGCAATTCTGAGAATCATATCTGGGGACAGATGCAGACGTCGTCCTGAAAAGAAGATCCAACTACGACCCAAGGAAACAAGGAGGAAAGCTGAGGAAAACCATCTATTACAAATTGTTGTGAAAGTCCAGCTCTCTCATCCAAGGAGGGATAAAGATCAGTCAGAATAAGACTACAGTTGTCCTTCTGGATTCATGGTGGATTGGTTTTAGGACCCTTTAAGCACCTGTCACAAAATTGTACAGTATTTGCATATAACTTACGGACTTCTTACTGTTTACTTTGGATCATCTCTAGATTATTTATAATATCTAATACAATGTATATGTCAGGTAAATAGCACATTATGATCCCCAGCTTTTTGCTTTGACCACTTAATTTCTGAACACGCGCGCACACACACACACACACACACACACACACAAATTTCTGACTAGCAGTTGCCAGACCTGCAGATAAGGAAAGCCTCCAATAATAATGGAGTCAAAAGCCATCTACAGTTGTTTCAAGAGACTCATGAAGGAATTGAAAAGACATACTTTTCCTGTATTTTGTTCGCTCTTAGTAGGAGAGTGAGTGGACTCAAAATGTCAGAAGCAGAATGCAATTTGGTGAATTATTGAATACAGCTCTTCTAGCCAAAGCCTTTGTTACTCCCACCAACCAACCCTCATTTTCCTCAGGCCTCGGGGTACAGAGGGAGGGGAAGATGCTGACCATGTTATGCAATTCGACTGTGAATGATTGCCATCCTCGGAGTATAAAATGAACCATCGTAGAAGCAGCAGAAAGGACCTCACTACCAGCAAGAGGCAGGAATAGAGCGAATCCTCTGGACCTCAAGACCCCTGCACAGTCTCTCTTGGATGCAGGAGACAGCTTGGACACCAGAGGAGAAACAGGAGCAGGAACAGCAGAACCAGGAAGCACGGCCTGAGACACGGCAGGGGATTTGAAGCCCGAAGAGCAAGGGACCCTGAACGCTCTGGGTCAGGAGGCTGGCTTGTGGAGTGGAGTACCTCTGGGCACTTAATCCATGGAGTTGGGCTTGTGGACTCACAGGGCTGGGGCTTAGCGCCTTTGGGTTAAGGGGGTTGAGGCTTACTGGAGTGATGTGCCTCTGGGCACTGAACTTGGGGAGCTGGGTTTGCAGGATCGTAACGGCATGCCATGTGGGCACTTATTAGCAACTCTAAAAGAGCTTTGTAACATGTCCTAAGACTGAACATGTCCTGACTGCATTCTGAGCATTTCTCACCTGAATTATAATGTGCCATTTCCATCATGAACCTCATCGTCATGATCTTTGCATGTGAGTTCTGTGTTGCCATTGCAATGAATAGAGCCCAGCAATAAAAGTGCAGAGCACTGTGTGAGACAGAACACACACTATGACAGTACCCGGTGTATGGGTGTTTATTTGCTAACAAAGCTCAAGCTGTAAGGAAAAGCTGAGGAGTTAAAATGAATTTTGACACACACACACATATCTTGCCGCCAAAAGTCACCATGGAACATATGGAAAAATATTGAAGTGAAACATCATCCCAACTCTAACTGAAATGACAGATGCTGAAATCAGTCATTTCACAAATATGATAGAAAATGGCTTGGCAACCTCACTGAAAAACTAAGATGCTACATCCTAAGTCATTGAGGATGAACATCTGATATATAAAGCCTTACAAATGATCTATTAAAAGTAAATGAATTAGATACAGCATAATAGCAAACATAATAGCAAAACCAGATCTTTCCCCTTGAAACACAGAGCTACATATTGTAATGTGTTAGGCTGGGTTAACTAGAGAAACAAATTCAGAGATACGCATATATGCATAAGAAAGAGCTTTATATCAAGAAGTAATTGAATATATCAAAAAAGCATCCCAAACCAATCTAACTGAATTCCACAAGTCTGAGACTAGTCTGTAAGTCCCTCTTCAGACTCACGCAGCCACTTGCAATGATGCAGGATGCATGGAGATCACAGGCTGGTGGGTTGCAAAGTCGTGTGGATCCAAGGGCAGTGGCTCTGGCAGCAAGGACCTCAGGGTCCACCAGAAGGAAGGTGAAGGTAGAGAGAGATGGGGAGGTTCCCAGGGCCCTCCTTATGAGAAGGCCATGCTCACAGGGAGACATCATCAGGCTGTGACCTGATTGGCAGGTGAAATTCCACCCCCTACACTTTTATATATGTTCAAGTTGACAAGAAATTATGTAACTACCACATTGTAATAACAAAATTAAACTCTAAATTGGAAGTAATAACAATATTGATCCATGATATCTAAGATAGTTTATTGTGCCAGCCTGGCTGATAAACGCAGGTGGGATTGACTGAAGGGCAGAGAGATAAATGGCTTGGTGAGCCTTGCCTTTCTTGTCTCTCGCTCTGTGATCATCGGACCAGTGTGCGGCTGCCTTGCTTGTTCTGTGCCTCAATTTAAAGGCTACACTGCCTGTGGGACGCCTAGCCTGTGGACTGTGTTGCTGTAAGTTGAGGTCCCTTTAAGACTTCTCTGGAGCTGGGGACTGGCGGGTGGTGACCCGTCTTGTGATTGGCTGCTGTGATGACATAGCCTAGCTCTCTCTACAAATAGAGGAAGATCTGGCAGCAGACTAGACTTGAAGGACTGCTAGTCTCTCAACTTTCTCTCACGGACATGAGTTGCACTAAGCCATTTGTAGTGCTTTCTAATTTAACTGTTCATTTCTTGTATTGTATGTTTATCTGTATATGATTTAACAGTTCATTTCTCATTATATATCTAATTATCTTTATAAATAAATATATTAAATTATCAAGAATTTGGTTTTATCTCTCTAGAGAACCCTGTCTAACACAATACCTAAAACAAATTTGAGAACTCTGAATATACAAAAATACAATAAGATTTTTTAATGGGTGTAAAATTATAAATATCATTTAAAACTCTTTGGGACTGTACTTCCAGGTTATGAATGAGATCCATTCCAATGTCTTTAAGTCAAATGTGTAGGTAAGTCAGAACTGGTGCCGATAGCTCTTATTTAGCCTTGCTTTAGTGCAAGAAAGGAGACTGGAGGCACTGTGGGACAAACACGGAGCTAACTAGCACAAGGTCAGTGGTTCAAACCCACCAGCCACTCCACAAGAGACACATGTAGCTATCTGCTCACATTAAAATGTAAGGTCCCAGAAGCCCTATCGAGGGTCCCCCTATGAATTGGAACCAACTCAAAAGCAGTGGGTTTGGGATTTTAGTGCAAGAAAAGACTTGCGCCCCTTTTTAATGAGTTCAGAAAGACACATGCAGTTTGTTGCAAGTAGTAGTCGGTTCGATCATCTCAAAGTAAGGCCAAATTTAGATAACATTGCAGGACAAGGATGAGTTGCTCATAAGCCCAAGGACTTACTGTCATTGTATAAACAAACCCAACTTAAAGTCCAATAAAAACAAAGCTAGTAAAGTTACATTTGACTATGATGTGTGAAGCTATTTTGCTAAAACTGTGTCAGTGTTTGACAGAGACCACTGCAGAGATTTTTCACCCAGGACAATCATCTTACCACTAGCCCGCTGATGACTGCCTGTTCTATCCCTTCCCTGCCAGAAACACTACAAAAGCGGCATCGAAAACATGCCATAACAGAGTTTCACCTCAACATGATTCAACACATCATTTACGTATTCGGTCTGTTTTTACCTCTGCTCTTCTGTTACTAAACTAAAACCATTATAGAATTCTAGTATCTTACCAGCATGAATACACAAGTAAAACTTGGAAGCTGTAATTAAATGGCAATGCTTGTTTATTACTTTGTTTATCCAAATCATAAAGATTTGTTTGTCAACTTAAGAGTGAAGTTGTATAAGCCAAAGACAAAACAATTTGAACATCGAAAGAAAATAGTAACTTTAAATACATATATACCTGGTGAGTGTAGAACAAACAATATTCAACAAAAAAAATATCACTGGTCACTACTGGTAGATGCTATGATGCCAACTTATTATATTAGAAACTAGTGTAATGAGAAAAAAAAAAGATACATGATTTCAGATAAAAGAAGCCCTAGTGGTGTCACAGTGGTTAAAGCACTCAGCTGCTAACTCAAAAGGAAGGCAGTTCAA